TACGATATCTTGAGTACTGAGTGGGCGCCTGTCGCCAATTTGCTGTTTCGCTGTTTGCATACATGACAAGTTGAATAATCGTAGTGTGATTTCACTGGTATCGGAGCATGAAAATAGAACCATGGGGCTTCAAAAAAAAATGTACTTTTCCTAAGTTTTCTTTGCTTTTCAGACTTTTCTTTTCTTTTTTTTTGACATTTCATTTCATTCTTCTTGTTCTTGTTCCACCTGCATTTCGAACTCAGGTTTTCATTTCATTTCAGGTTTCCATTTCATTTCAGGTTTCCATTTCATTCCAGGTTTTCATTTCACGAACTGTTGAAGTTCGTGAAATGAAAACTGGGGCCTCAGGTTTTCATTTCATTCCAACTGAGCTATAGGCCCATCGGTTGTTTGTTTCCTTTTCTGCTTTCCGTTTGTCTTTGTTTTTGTTGTTGTTTTGTTTGTTTGTCTGTTTGTTTGTTTGTTTGTTTGTTTGTTTGTCTCCATGTGTGCACAGCTCTGGCACAATGCATGCGCTCATCGTGGAGCAGTGACCTCAGTCATTTTGACAGAGAAAAGTGTTATGTCCTCAGGACAGGTAAGGAGCTAATCAACCAACCCATGACCAGTGTCATTGATGACGTTGACGGATCAGCAGGTTTGAGAAACTTTTGATTCAACTGCCAGCACAGGTTTTTTTTTCTGGGCAAACCCAGAAAACTTGAAAAATCGCATTTCTTGAAAGCTGAAACGGTATAGTCAGCTAAGGAAGTCCTATTAATGAGTTCCTGATCGCATTGACTTTTTCTTTTGGGGAAAAAAATATGTATATACTTTAACTTTATTATACAGTTTATACTATATATTATTTTATTTTATTTTCTGGCTTTCATTCGCTGGTAACGGTACTAATGGCCACTAGTGATACACCGTATTTTCATACCTGTTCCAAATGCTGGCAGGTCGCATTATTACACCCCCCCCCTCCCCCCTCCAACTGGGCCCTCAGACAATTGCAGATTTGTGCTGGATATGGGACGCTGGACCCGTTTTCCAGCAGGTGACGCTCCGCACACCGATAGATGGACCCTCTCTTGGGGTGCTAGCGGTGATTTTTTGCTCTTATCAACACCTCTAGCAGCGGCAAGAGATGTGAAGAAAGAATTATGAAACCGTTGTCACGTGTCCACAACAGCAGAAAAGGAAGAAAGAGAAGAAGGGAAAAAGCAAAAAGAGAAAAACGAAGATATGCCCTGCAGCCCCTGCTCATCCTTAACGACTGTGGCATAAGATGTGAGGGACACTGGGCCCGATTCCCAGCTTGTAATAATAAAGTTGGCTAAAAAATGCAAAAAAATAAATAAAATGCATGCATAGTGTTGCATACATATTCCGTAGTACATATTGCAATAATTAGTAATTAGTAATTACATAGACAAAGTGAAAAAGGCTCAAAAAGCACAAGGAATGACATTGGTATCAGGACCTTTGAGGTGTGCCAAAAATAGTCCAGGCTTTTTTTCTTTTCTTTTTTTGACAAAGAATGGGGTGGTGCACTGTTTTCATTATAGCAGCTGGAAACCGGATCCAGCATCCCTGACGAGCTTGAGACTCACCCACGCCTCTCCCCTTTTTGGCAGGGAGAGCCTGAGACACCAGCATTTTTTTTTTCCTATCCGAAAAGATGTACCACCGCTCTGCCCCTGGCTGTTTCCTGAGTCCCTCGCTGATACTATCCCCCCTCTTGCTGTTCTCCTTTGAAACTTCTGAGTCCTCAATGAGCGTGATTGCAACGGATTATCTCAACCAGCATGATTGTTGCAATGGATTAGCTTACAGTGTGTAAGCTAATTCGTTGCATCGTAAGCTAATGCATTTCATTGCAATCACGCTGATTGAGATAATCCGTTGCAATCACGCCGATTTAGATAATCCGTTGCAATCACGCCGATTTAGATAATCCGTTGCAATCGCGCTGATTGAGATAATCCGTTGCAATCACGATGTAAGCTAAGTTGTTGCAATCACGCCTTAAGCTAATTTGTTGCAATCATGCCATACGCTAACCATACGCTAATTCGTTGCAATCACGCTGTAAGCTAATTCGTCGCAATCACCCCTGACGAGTCGGTGAAACTCAGACGAAACAGTTTGTCACAGCCTCTCATTTGTTGTCCTCTTCTCCCTCTCTGCCTACGGTTTACCGTAGGCAGCTCTGTTTGGCGATAACAAAGCTGCCCGGTAAACCGTAGGCAGAGAGGGAGAAGAGGACAACAAACGAGGGGCTGTGACAAACTGTTTCGTCGGAGTTTCTAAGTTGTAATTTTATGAAGGATTTGTTGTGGGATATCAACCACACACACTCGGGAGTCGGGAGCCTCTCTTTTCATTTAAATTTGTTGAAATGTTGCCATTTTCGGTTTCCTCATTCATTTATCCTATCCCTTAAGCAGCATTGGCCGCGGGGGGGAGGTCCATGACGCGCTGCGCGCCGGAATCGGGTCGAAGTTTTGGCGAGGGGCGGCGGATGAAGGCGATCGAGGGCGGGGGAGTGTGCAGAGGGGTGCGCGTACCGAAATGTTCACAGCACGCCATTAAACGAGAGCGCGCGGCCCGGGGGCAAGGCACACGGCTGGCATTGATTCGGACGAACATCTGGGAGACGAGCCATCCAATATGCGGGCGGATTTTTTTTGGTTTTGTTTTCCCCGGTTGGCCGTCGTTTTGTGTCCCCGTTCTCCTTTTTTTCATTTCTCGCGCCTGTCGTTTTGTGTCCCCCCCTTTTTTTTTTCTTTTTTTTTTTCTTTTCCTTCCTTCTTTTTTCATTTCTCGTGCGGCTGTCATTTTCTGCCCTCCGGTAGTCCTTCGTTGTTTCTGCGGACGAACGTCTTGGAGGCGAGCCAACGGAATGCAGTGTGAGGTCACCCACTGCATTTGTTATTTCTGCGGCTGTAGCCCGCACCGCCCGCACCGCGGGCACTCAGCTAGTTGAAATTTGTTCATCCTCTTTTTCTTTGTTTGGGTTTCCTACCCCTCCTCATTTTTCGAGTTTTCAGCTTTTTTCTTCACCATTTCGCATTTCCCCCCCTTGTTCGTGATGAATCGATCCGCTCGGTGCAGAGAAGTCCATTACACACTTCTAAGCTCCCCCCCCTCCCCCCCTGCCCTTTCCTTTTTTTTCCCTGCAGAGTCATCATCCTGACCCTTGGCATGACAGGACTGATGTGATTTTCAGGACAAGGCAGTCCGTCTGTGGCCGCTGAGGGCTCCGGAGCTTCTATACCAGTTCACAGACAGTCAAGCACCAGCTGTCAACATCCTATTGGACGCTCGAGATTCCTCGATCCTGCATGCCTGCTACGAAGACCGGCTGATCGTTCATTACGATCTAAACATTAAGAGGAGAGCGAAATATCACACTGTTCCAGATGGCGGACGCTTTGTTAACATGGGTCAGGTGAGATTTTGGCCAGTCAATGGCAGTGAGCCAGTAATACGTTCCGTTATTCTATCTATGAGGATTTGAATTTTGTACTCATGATGTGAATATTGAAAAAGCGGCAGCAGTACACCGAGGCAGGACTGAGGGAACAGGGGGTGGGCCGAGAGAAATGACGAAAAAGAGGGGTGGGTGTGGACTGGCGAGGAGGAAAGACCCCCTCCCCGCCTTCCCCCTCCCTCCCCTCCAAGGAAAGAAAAAAGCACCAGTGGTCGTCCCGGTCTTCGAAAAAATGTGTCCGGGGTCACATGGGGCATTGGAAGGCTCACCAGAGCACCCGCCAGGACAAGGTTGGAGTGCCAGGCAAATCGCGAGCTGCAACGGGACGGATTTCCTCAAGGACATAGGCCGCAATCCACATAGTGAAAGAGAGCCTGGCACCCGCTGGCGGTTTAAGAGAAGAGGAGGAAGTATCACCCCTCTGTTCCAGGTACATGCATCTGGTCAGATTCTGCACATTGAGGACCCTTTGTTTGCAAGGGATCAACCCCCAACATAATTTTATCCGTATAAGGATTCGAATTTCGAACTCCTGATTTGAATACTAACTATTATTAATTTTTGCGAGCGACGGATAATATCCGTGTTAAGATGTCATAGACCAAGTGGGATTTTGGTCAATCAGGACGTTTCATTTCAAAAAGAACAAAAAAAAAAAAAAAAAAAAAAAAAAAAAAAAAAACAAACATTATTATATATCCAGTATTATCCACCATATAAGGATCTAAAATTTCAAACTCATGATGTGTTTGACTACAGCTTCCTTCATGTGTGTTGTAGTACTGACTGTATTGTGCAGTGTGTACCATTCGGCCACGCAAGGCCTTGCATGGCCGAATTTTAAACTCATGACGTGTTTGGCAACAGCTTCCTTCAGGATTTAAACTGTAACTCCTTCACCCGAACAGAACGCGCGGTCATTATAGCTGCATTTCGCACAACTTTCAGTCCAGATGCAGCGATAATTACTGGGCATTTCATTTGGGTGAAGACGGTAGTAACTCCTTTGCTCAAGTACGATAAAATCTGATTCGTCAAACATACTACCTTGTCATGATGAAGTGAATGTTGAAGTGCATAACGTTATAAATTATATCCAATAAACATTATAAAACTACGAAGAAGAAGAAAAACTTGCAACCATACCAGCCGCGATAATTGTCGTGTTATAAAAGTCACTTCTTGAAATTTGAAATTCAATAAAGTTGAATAAAGTAATAGTGGTACAACTTATAAAACTATGAAGAAGGAAAAAAAAAGTATAGCTTCTTGAAATTTGAAAAACGGTTAGTTGATGATATAGACTGAGTGAGTGAGGTGGCGATACATTCTTGTCTTAGTTGTCTATGGATCTGTAGATTCTGTACCTCTGGGCCCCAGGCCCTCAGCCCTCCTCCGTGCAAGCACAGATTTGAACCGGCGACCTCGGCCCGCCTCAAGAGCCAAGTATCTTAACCACTATTAAGCCAGGACACGGCGTTCAACCAAAAAAATTGCAACCATACCAGCTGCGATATCCACCCCACCCCTGCAAGGCAGTAGTGACCAAACTCGACGCACACCACTCACAACACCCCAAGGACGCTGTCAATTCCCGCACACTTTGCTCCAAGTACCACATGACCCCCAGCGGTAGGATAGTCCGCTCACTTATGCGAGCGAGTCTCTGGATCAACCAGCTATAACCACCACCCACCAGATCACGGGAGCTTTTCCAATGTCTATGCATTGTATGCAACGATAATGAGGAAAGCTACAATTTGATTCAGCTAATTTATGAAAATCAACTCTTCTTTTTTTTTTTTTTTTTTCCTTTTTCGGTAGCGAATCCTTGTTTTTTCGAAGCATCCTGTATTTTCAGCAGGAAGAGATTGATTTTTTTTTTTTCTTCTTCTTTTTTTTTTTCTAAACAGGTCCTTACGGTCCTGGCTCCATACAAGGGTGCTAGCAGGGGGCAAAGTAGCATCATTGGAAGGGAAAGGCTTACGCTTCCATTGGTTTAAGGACGATCTCCAAGACTCACCATACGAGGACGAGAATCGGGACCCAGAGCTGGGGCTACCATAAGCCGCGGGAAGGAGGAATTATCTGCAGAAAAGGAGGCTCGCAAGGGCAGGGCCGAGGATAGGAATGACGCAAGGGCGGGTGCGATGTGCCTGCTAGGAAATGGTCTTACAGACAGTTCAGAAGGGGACGGATGACAAGTTAGTGAAGGGGGGGAGTAACGGATGAGAGATAGTCCGGTTCCCTTTTTTTTTTTTTTTTTTTTTTTTTTT